CAACTATTGTAAGGGTAGGACATTTACATCACAAAAGAACCAAAAATAGAAAACATTTCATTAAAAAATACATTCCAACTATGAAAAGAATTGCTTCCTTGGTGTCTTCACATCCTTCACTTTCGTGTACTTATGTACAATACATTGTTTCCTTGGATAAATGCATCCCCATACTGATTCTTCAGCTGCCCATTAACATACTCTTCTGTCTGCTCCAAGGCTCTATTCATATAGCCATCCAGGCAAGCCAGGACCCCTTGGTAATCCACTCCCGAATTTAATTTGACCGCAGCTGGCCTTCCAGTGATTTGCTTTAAGAAGTCACTAGGGGTTTGCTTCTGCAGACTCATTGCAACAAATCTTGAGAGGCAGGAAACCCGGGTTCTAATTGTAGCTCTGCTACTTAATTAGCTGTGTGACTTGAGTAACTCATCACTTCACCTCTCCTGGCCCCAGGCTCCTCATTTCACAGCCGGAACCCAGAACCCTCCTCCAGGTGCCCCACAGAGCCGGCCCAAAGGGCATTTTTTTAATTCTCGCTCTCAGCTCATCCTCAAAACATACTGAAGTCACTGCTGGTTCAGGTCCAGAAGAGTTCCAAAACAGAGAAACAGATCCTGCCCAAGAGCAGAGGACTTCTTATAAAGGATCCCAAGACACAGCCACAGTGAACAGGAAATCTCTGTTGAATTCATTTCCTGAGTTTTTGCTTGATTTCATAATTTCTAGTTCTTCACCAAAATGGTCATTCATATCTTGTTTAATTCAATTATCTTATTATTTGTGTCTTCTTTAAATTTGTTAATTCCTTATCAAGTTATATCCTCTTTTTTTTTTTGCAGAACCAGGGATTGAACTCAGGCCCTTGCGCTTGCCAGGGAAGCGCTTATTCCACTGAGCCATCTACCCGGCCCCCAAGTTATGTCCTCTTTAAGATCAATAAAAACATGTTAAGAATTTTGTTTCTTTAATCTCTTCAGACATTTTAACCATTTGATGTTTTAGTTTGTTGCTTGTGACTTCTATACTTCAGTGCCCCTGAGATCAACTTTTAAGGGATTAAAGGCTTCTGGTAGCATCTTATTGCCTTGTTTTCTCACGTTTCTTTTGTTACTGTGATGAGGCTTGAAGATCATCAGTCAGGGGAGAAGAGCTCTGTCGCTGCTGTGGAGGTCTCTTCACTTAGTGTAAGTGTCCCTGGGAGAGGACCTGGGCTTTGGCGCCACCTGCCCCATATGGTCGGATCCATCCTGGTTGCTGCACTGCGCCGAGGGAGTAGCTGACACACCACACGGCGTCCTGCTTCGTACTGTCGTCTTTTGTTTTTTTAAAGTTATATCAGCACTCAGGGAACTTTCCAAATGTGAGTCATGTAAGTTAAAACTTATTTTAACAATTTCATACTTTTTTCTTCAGTAACTCAGGAAGAAAATATGGGACACTCTAAATTGTGTGTCATCCTTGCCCAGGTGGCATGCTAATCCTTTCTGTGTTGTTCCACTTTCAGCATATATGCAGCCACACTGAGCACAGGCTTTCTGAAGGAGTGTTGCTTTGTTGTCTAGGTCTGCTTCCACGTGCTGGGCTCGAGCGATCCTTCTGCCTCAGTCTCCAGAATAACACTGTAGGCACACACCACATGGTATCCAGCTTCATAATGTAGTTTTTTTTTTAAAAGATGGTCTCGGGGGCCAGGGAGATGGCTCAGTAGAATAAATGCTTGCCTGGCAAGTGCAAGGTCCTGAGTTCAATCCCCTGTTCTGCCAAAAAAAAAAAAAAAAAAAAAGATGGTCTCATGGTGTAGTCTAGCCTGGCCTTGAACTCAAATGCATGGGGCTAGTCATGCTGAGAACAAGGGAGAAATGCACTCAATGGAGAGGAGGACATTGTGGTAGCAAGGAGCAGGGCATGTTTCAGAACCAGACAAGTTCAAGCTTGAGGTGAGGAAAGTAATGGAAATAGACAAGGAGCACTTGGTTCTGTGATACGAGGATGCATCAGTGTGGGCTTCTCATAAGCACTGCTGTTTGAGAGGGGCCTTGAAGAGAGTAGGAATTTACATGGCAATAGTGAGACTGGGAAGAATACTTCAGCGTAAGCAAGGATGTTGACATTATTCTCCACACTGGCTCTCAATAAGAACACCGTAGCAGTCATCCTTTTAAACTCCAATTTGGTTTCCATTCACTTTTAGGCAGATGAGTTCATCCGAGCAAATGCCACCAGCAAGTTGTCGGTCATAGCTGAACAAGTCCAACATTTGCAAGAACAAGCCAGAAAGGTAAGGAAAGACTTCTAGGTAGAATTTCATTAAAAAAAAAAAAAAAAAATTTTTTTAGGGGCCAGGGAGATGGCTCAGTAGAATAAGCGCTTCCCTGGAAAGCGTAAGGGCCTGAGTTCAATCCCT